ATCCGCCGGGCGCGCCGTTCTCGACCCCGCCGCCTCAGCTCACTCTTGCCCGGCTTCAGCTCACGCTAAGCCAGGGCTTTCGCTTACGCTAGGCCGCTGTGTTTTTCGTTGTGGAAGCGAAACTACTTTGTTTGGTCTTCCAAAAGAGGACACAACTAGAAATCAGTGGTTAAGTTGTATTTACAACACCGTTCCAGAGCAGTTCAAACCAAATATTCAGATGTGTGCAGCGCATTTTACGGAGGATGAGGACTGTTTCCTGATCCTGGTAGTGTAGCCTACAATGCCGGTGTTCTGCCAAATAATGCTGACTCATAGCCTGTAAGTACGTTTTCATATTTAAAGAATTTGCCACTGATGATTCAAACGCGAGTTTTGAGCAGTGTAGAGTAGCGCTTGTTGTTTGTCGTTTCTCTGATCACAAATGCCGACATGGTTTTATGTTTACGCGGCGCGATGCAACGCAATGCGTAAAAAGACAGTATAAGTCATTATAATAAGTAATTATGTCCCCACTGGATGCTACAAATGCCTCGTTTGTAATGGGTTTTAATGTTTTTGTCTCGATGGACAAGGCATCACAGTATGGTAAGGGGCGTAACATTTCCGTCACACGCTTGAGGTATTCAGCCAATCACAATAATGTTCTTTTTAGCAACATCATATGACCCCTTTAAACATACTTTGATGCAGGTTAGGAAATACTCTCAATTTAAAGTGACTCGTAGTTCTTGTGTTTTGTTCAAGAGCAAAAGTGATGAGCTGGAGCAGAGAAATGTTCCCTAACTCCCTTATTAAAGAAACTCAAACAAAGAAACAACAAAAAAGTTGTTTTTCCTATATATATATTTGTACACTTTGTCTCATAAGTAGCATTATGAAACAAAATTGTGAAGGAGTGTACATAACTGTATCTACTATTTTCCTGTTGATCTCTGTGAAGCTGCTTTGACACAATCTGTTTTGTATAAAGCACTACAGAAATAAAGGTGACTTGACTTGACTTGTTACTCATCTGAATTTCCATAAGGAAATGCAGTATCAGCTGATTTGCGACGGTATTTCTGTACATATCTTTGAGGACATCATATTTAGTGAAACTGTACATTATTTAACTTGTGCTTTAATTCACAGTTTTTTTCTTTACTGTTTTATAGATCAGCCTTTTGTGGAGCACCAAAAGAAGAGATGGAATAATTTCATGGGATGAAGAAGAATACATCTCCACTGCATCCTGTACCATCACAATCTAGAACTTGCTCTGATAGTGAGACAATTAATTTTGTTATAATCAGAACAAAAAAGTTCTTAAAAGATTGGTAAGAAAAAATGTAACATCTTTAATATGTTCTTTCCCCTCCAGGACTTCCCATCGATCCTACAATGGCTAGCCAAGGTATGCAAATTAAAGATCATTGTACAGTCTGTGATTAAGGACAAATAATGAGTGGGATGAATTCTCTGATAGGTACTAAAAGAAAACGAGATCATGAACCATCTGACTCGAGTATAGAGACAACACTGACAACAGGCAAGTAAAATCTGAATCTGTCCACCTCTAATCTGTACTAGTAATTAATCAATTAGTTGCCTATAAAAGGTCTGCAGAATTTAGACACGCACACTAACTTAAAAGGGTAATATCACATCCACCCATTTTCCAAATCATTTGTCATATATCATATCCCAGTATCTCAAACACAGAAGCATGCCCGTGTAATTCTCTTCTTTGTTGTACACAGATATGATCATGGAGAATGCAAGACAAATTCTGAAAATAATCACTAAAACCTCAGATCAAATCGATAAAGGCCGTAGGAAGAAGGCAACCATAGGGATTTTTGGAAAATCAGGAGAAGGAAAGAGCTCTCTGCACACTAACTTAAAAAGGTCATATCACATCCATCCATCTATTTTCCAAATGGTTTATCATATGTAGCATCATGGGGATGCTGGAGCCTATCCCAGAAACACCCTGGACAGATGGCTATGTGTACCATTTTGAGTCCAGCACCTGAGCCATAAATGCTACATGACTGAACACTATATATTAGAACTACATACCATGCACTGGTAAAACATATACTATTTTAGAATTAAACATCTGCCACTTATGTTGCTTAGAAAAATGTTACTTAATCAGAAACATGCCTGTGTGTATGTGTGTGTGTATATGCAGGCACGCCCATTGTAACTGTCTTCTTTGTTGTACACAGATATGATCACGGAGAATGCAAGGCAAATTCTGCGAAGAGTCACTAAAAACTCAGATCAAATCGATAAAGGCAGCAGGAAGAAGGCAACCATAGGGATTTTTGGAAAATCAGGAGAAGGAAAGAGTTCCCTTTTAAGTGCAATCTTGGGGAAAAAGGAACTCTTACCATCTGGTTGTTTTGGTGCTTGTACAGCTGTTGTTACTCAGGTGGAAGCCAATCTGACTGACTCCAACTACATAGCAGAGATCGAGCTCTTCTCTAAAGAGGTTTCCTCATTATTCTTCTCGTTATTTCCCTATAGCGGATAATGAACCGGAAGTCTCACCCATAGCTTACTTCCGCGTTGAAGTAAAAGGTGGATAAATATGTAAATAAACCAGACTGGACAGAACAGAACCAAGCCTTATTTTTCTCTATACTTTGTGCTGTGTACCTCTACAGGAGTGGGAGAATGAGCTTAAAGATGTTTTCAAAGATATAAAAGATGAAAGTGAGGAAAGGAATGAGGACTTAATTGAAATTGCTGTAGAAAAGATCACTGCACTGTATGGAGCTGATGCAGACCAGAAAACATTAGAAGAGCTCCAGAATGATGAAAAATTTGCTGAGATTGAAGCCTTTTTGTCTATCAGTAAGAAAATAATCTCAAACAGTAATGTAAGTTTCATGAGACTGTTCAATATTTTACATTAAATGCATAATGCATTGCTAATTTGCTTTTCAGCAAAGTAAAACATAGCAATTTATTATCTCAACAGCTCTCTGAATTTACCAACGAAGTTGCAAGTTTCATACAACACAGTGAGTCAAGTTCTGGTGACTGGTTCTGGCCGCTTGTAAAGAGCGTGACGATCAAGGTACCCCACTGTCATGAATTCCTGGAGCACATTGTGCTTCTTGATCTTCCTGGTACTGGAGACTGCAATAAGATTAGAGATGACCTGTGGAAATCTGTAAATATATTTCTTTTCATGAAACATTTTGTCATATACACTGTAGAATCTATTGTGCTAATATAAACCATAACTATGTCCTATTTTAAATCTTGTAGAAACTGAGAGAGTGCTCTTCTGTGTGGATTGTAAGTGATATCAAGCGAGCAATCTCTGACAGAGACCCCTGGGGGATATTAAAGTACTGCATTGATGAACTGGGACCAGGAGGAAAATGCAAAAGCATCAACTTCATCTGTACAAAGACTGATGATATCAATCTAGGAGCGTATATTAGGTATTGTGTGAATACTATAGGAAATGAAGGGCTCGGAAGTGGTCTAAATTGGAGTAATTACAGTAATCTAGTAGCAAGCATGCAACATTTCGCAACTTTTTAATATTCTTTTTTAGATCTGCACGGCTTCCAAGAGACCAAATTCCAGAAGACAAGGTTTGGAAAATGTAGAAGGACCGTACTAGCAGTGTTTCTGTAGTATGGCCCCTTTGTTTTCATAGACCAGTACTTAATTTAGCTGTCAGTTTCCCGTTTGTACTGTTGGTTTTAATAATGTCAGTGAGGGCTTATATCACTGTAAATGAAATTTAATGAATATAATAATTTACTGAGATGAAAAGGAGAATCTTTATAGTTCATAATCAACCCATGAATCAGATTTTACAATAGACCTACATTATACGCATACATACATATGTGTGCGTGTGTGTGTGTTTTGTTTTTAATTATTCTTTAGGATCAGAAAAAACCATGCATACTTCATAGAAATGAACATGCCAAGACAAGGGTCAAAGAAAAGTTTGAAAATTCTGAAATCAAGGTATTAATTCTTGCCTAATTTTCTTTATTACCATTATGTTTTAAAAACTCTATTGATATGATTTTTTTTCCCGGTAACTTTATTTTGATGTTCCCTTTTCAACATTATGTTGACAATAAGTAACATTGCACCTACATGTCCACTAACTCTCAGAGTATTTAACAGAATGTGTTAAAAGGGACTATCAAAATAAAGTGAAACATTTTTTTTTCTTTTTTAGAAAATATTCAACACTGACAATCAGTTTCAAGTTTTTACTGTGAGTTCCAATGCATTCTTTGACCACAATTTAAATCTGGAATCAAGTGAAACAGGTAAGCTATCCTCTGTCTATTGCTTTCATTTTACAACTTTATTCATTCATGAGAAAAGAAATAAACTTGTCAAACTGTTGCATGAGTATTTTTAAGTGCATGTTAAAATATTTTTTAAAGCGAGATAAAGCACTGACCAAATGAGCCCAAATCACATCCTTGTGTTTATTTGTAGAAATCCCAAATCTGCAGGATGATCTGAGGAATCTTAACAAGAGCATTAATGTAGAATTGACCAGAGAATATGTCAATAAAGTAAAGGGAGTTTTGTCCTTGATCCAAAGTGGCCAGCTGGATAAAGACAGAAAAAAGGTACAGAGTCTGAATTAGAATGAATAGAATTAGTGCATCTTCAGAATTCTGCCACTGTGTATTATTATGTAATTCACTGCTGTTGTATGGATGTGTTTTAGATCGAAATGAAAGTCAACAAATTTAAGAAGAACCTAAAGGAGTCACTATCTGAACTGGACAAATATTTTGTCAGCATTTATAAAGATCTGGAGCAGCATCTCTCAAAGGGAGTGGAAGAATCAGTGAGCTCATGTGTTGCTTCCACAAAGAAAATGATATCTGTGAGTGTGATTCAAATGTTTTGCACCATTTTAATAATTACTGTCCTTTTAACACTTGAATTTTTATTTATTTATTTATTTTTTGTTACTCAGAATAAAGATGGAAGGGGGTTCCATAAAATCCTTGGAGCTTTGTGCAAGAACTACGGATGCTATTGGTCCAAAAATTGGGATGTAGTTCTAGACCTGAACAAGTCATTGGCCAAACATTTGCACAAAAACATTTATGATGATTTCTGTAAGATTTTTCCGTAAGTTCTGTTTTATCATTCCATTTCTAGTCTCCATTTGAGTAGTTTAGAATAAAATGCAATAAACTATTTACAATGCTTGTTGTTGATATTTAGGGAATTAACATGATCAAGTTTTTAATTAACATTGTTGTTAATTATATTGTTGGCTTTTAAATGGCTTTTTGTTGGCTTGTAAATGTGGACCAACTGTAGATTACATGTAGAGCAGTAAACCAGCGGATGGGACAGATGCCCAGGAAGATACAGATTGGGTGTAGTTTTGTTGTGGCAGAATATTTGTGCTAGATTAATTTGAGGTCAAGTGTTTTCTCAAGGAAACATCATCCTTATGTTTGTCACACAAGGCATACGCAGGACTCAAAAGTATGAGTGGGTTTGTACTGGTTTTACTTCTAGTGATGGGTCATTTAGGCCAGTCGCATACACTTTGTAAAGGACAAAAAGAAATGATTTCCTTTCTGGTTTGATTCTTTTGTTAACTTGACATATGACAACCGCATAGGTAATAGCAATATAAAGTAAACTTTGTGTATTTGGGAATTTAGCCTTTCCCATCACTATTTCCTTCCAGTAATTCTCAGATTATATATCAAGAATTACAACTATATTCTGTAAAATGTTTTAAAAATAAACTGCAAATGGATTTCTTTTGGCTGCAGTGTGACTGGAAAAACAGGAAAGTCAGTGCAGGAACAGATTGATAAGTTCAGTATCATCCAGAGTGACTCTGCTTACCCCAGCTCTGACATACTACATCACATTCACAACTTCATCAAAATAGAGGTGAGTTCAGCTGTCCTCTTGGGAACACTAATGGGTTGCATTCTGGCCCTGATCCTCTAAGGGCCAGACTTAGACTTTACACTTGGCATTAACATGCGACCTGTATCCGGATGTTGTCCACATACACATTGAAAAGACAAGTATAAATGTTATCCGATCAGCATGTCCTAGAGCCCTGCAGGCCTCAAATTTAGGCCCTAGCCCGGCCCTGGCCAGAGACGCTCAGGCCCTAGCCCGGCCCGTGTCCGACAGCTTATCAGAATTATCCGTCCGACCCCCCCTCCCAAAACAGCTTATACTACTGTTTCAGCTATTAAAATTGTTCAGTTTTGTATGTAATGGCAAAGTGATTATATTCGTTATTTTTAAATTATTAGTTTTTTTATTAAGTTAATTTAGAAAAACGTTTGGAGCATTTTTTGTTCGTTAAATATACGTTTTTGTTTTTTAAAGTAACGACCAGGCGGCCAGCGGCAGACGGTGAGCCTATGTTCGATCCATTTAGCCTTCTCAAATCATCACGAGTTGCCTAAAATAAAATCTATAGATATAAAACAGTTCAAGCATATAACAATGTTTAAACGTTAAACCTATATAAATGTGCGCTATATCCAATAGTTTGTGCGGAGAGTGGAAGCTAAAGCGCGCTTTGCAGGACATGGCGCCAGCGCAATCACTAAGAGTAATACATCATTCATAACTGTAAAGGGTCTACTTTTATTTGTGTGCACTCACAATATCAACAAAACGTTGTGCTTTTATAAAATAAAGAAAACATGATGCGCTTTCTGCCGTCTCGTCTTCAACAGGAGCGCTTCACCGAATACATGCATGATAAATATATCTATAGAAAGCTTTAACTACTTAACGAAATAAAACAAATAGACTAAATAGACTAAAA